CTCTTCCCTCCATTCATCTTAATTACAGGAAGTAATTTGTATTTTACAAAATTTATCTAGGAAGTAAAGTTTAACTGGGAAGATCAACTGGTATTTTCTGTTCTTGCTGAAAATGCATTTAGCATTTGAAATTTATGTAGCCGCTGATTCTAAGAACTAGTAAGCTGCAATACAGTATATCACATTTTGTTGTTGGGTTTATATAGCCTTAAAATCAATATAGGAAGTTTTTTTTTTCTTTAATTTGCCATACCAGCATCCCTGGAACATTTGCTGTATCTGCCAATTTCTGCCATCACAGCTATAAAAAGACAGAGGTTGGGCATTATTTGACATACAGCAACATACAGCGAAATAATGCTGTGATTCATGGGGTTGATTTACCAAAGGCATATAGACTGTCAACCTTGCAAAAGGATTTTAACTTTTCAAGGGAATTTTCCCGTAGGTTATTGAATGAGGTAAAGCTTCACTGACTTGCATCATCCAAACATTCTTTGCAAAATACATTTTCACCACCTCAACTATGCTAAGGCAACATTTCCTTGTACAGTGCAAATTCCCTTGCAAAGTAAACACCCTATTTGCATTTAATAAATTAACCCTATTGCCTAAATATAAAGTGGTAATTTGAAGTTTAAACAGAGCTGGGGATGTTCTCTCAACCACCATGTTCTGGGTACCTAAATGGTCAATCAGCAAGTGACACGTACCTGGTTATTGAGCCTGATGTGAAGAGGAAGGCCTGTCTTACAGCTCCGGCTCAGGAACCACTGGGAGTGGAATAGTGACTGCTAGAGCACAGTGAGGTATAAGTACCTGTAATAAGTCTAGTAGTCTGTGCAGTTAGTAGCCAATGCTTCACCAGGAAGGAGCCAGGAGACAGAGGCAGCTAACAGTAGACAGATGGAGCAGGCAGAGAGCTGGCTGGTAGCAGACTGTCAGGTGCTAGGCTGGCTGGCAATTGGCAGCAGATGCTTGTCAAGTGAGCAGAGATGACACAAGAGCGTTCTGGACTGGAGATGTTGTAGCAAGATGTAGGGTCAGACACACCAGGTCAGTAACAGACAGTCAGATCAGGCATTACCAGCAGGGCAGAAGAGAGCCAGGACACAGGTCAAAGTCAGCAATGGTGAAGCAGATCATGCAAAAGCAGGTTCCAGGGACAAGCTGAGGTCAGGGCAGGTAGCATACAAGCATGGTCAGAGACAAGGTGGGTCAGGATCAGAAGTCAGGCACAAGAACATGGAATAAAGAACACAGAAAACTGTAGACCAAACAGCAATGAGCTAGTGCTGCAGCCCTGGTTATATAGCCCTTTGGTGCCAATATTGGTGGCTGGGCATGTGCACGCATGAGCTTGTGCACATGTGCATGCCTTTGCACATCTGCCCGGACAGTTGTTGGCCTGCGCCTGCACACACGTATGCTCCTGGGAGCATTGTCTGTTCTATGGGTAAGTCTTCCCTGACATCAAGCAGCAGCTCTATCATGATTGAAGAAGTCACATGCTCTTCCATACTAAAAATGTTTACTCTACACAATAATGGGATTTATTTATTACAGGTACTTATATAGATCCATCAATTTACTCAGCATCTTTTACATATATATATTATACATTCACATCAGTCCCTAACCCTCAAGGGGCATCCAATCTAAAGTCCCTAACTCACATTCATACATACACATACTAGGGCCAATTTAGACAGGCTACAAATATTCTACCAGCATGTCTTTGGTGTATGGAAGAAACTGGAGTACCTGGAGGAAACCCATGCACGCACAGGGAGCACTTGCAAACTCCAGGAATGTTGGTGCCATGGTTGGGATTTCAACCAATGAACCTAGTACTGCCAGGCAGAAGTGCTAACCATTTAGCCACTGTGCTGTATTGCTGTATGGAATGTGAGTATGTGGTGTTGGTGGGGCAACCAGTAAAATGATCCTTGTACATAAACCCTAAGCATCACATTTTGCTATTGACGCAAAGGTTGGGGACCAATATTGCTATTTCTAAACTTCTGGGAGACACATTAAAAGTATAGTTTTTGTGGAGTTTTGCTTAACTTTTAGCTTCATATTTTTGTATTTTAATTATTTTCCATTAAGCACAGTTGAATAAAAACAAAATAACAATCTGTTTTCAAACATAATTAATTGTTTGTTGCTAGATTACCCACTCTTGGGATTTCTTATGTGTTACTTTATGATATGCTACGGTATAGGATCATTTGTATAAAAAGCAAAGATGAATATGTGATCTTTATACATCACCCCATTTTACATTATGCAGATGGATTTTTGTCCAAGTGTTATGTGATATGCTAATGTGCTTCCCAAAGCTCCAGCCAACTTTTGTCAACACCATCTTTTACCCCCAACTGTTCAAATCTGTTCTGTTTTGCATTATGATTCAGATATTGTAATGTATCATGTCTTAATTGAAATAGATTGTGTTGAAGTAAAGTAGTCCTCTTGAGTTTTGTTTAAAGTAGACCTTGTTCTCAAAGATAAGGTCCACCTATAGCATTATCTTTTTTTCTCCTTATCTAAAATTGCTCCTTTAATGATATAAAAACAAAACGTTTGTGAAAAAGTAACGGAATGTACTTATCTTCTGATGGCTTTCTAGCAATCCTTCTGTTGGGATCCTAGGAAAACTAAAGAACTCATGAAAAGGTACTCCTGCTAGAGCTCTTACCAGACCGATTGTGACATCACCCTTTTCTGTGAGATAACTATAAGAGATAACTATCTTTTTTTCCACTGTTTTTTTTTTTGGCTCCCACTACTGCCAATCACAGCCAGTGAGGAGGGAACAGGGGGAGGGCTGAGCCCCACTATGTGTGTCTTATGGATAAAAAAAAGCACCAGCTCCAGATCGAGCCCACACATGTGCACTTGGTGGGGTCGAGGGGGTGAGTAGCACCAGTAGGGGACCCTAGACTAGGACTGCTCTGTGCAAAACCATTGCACAGAGCAGGTAAGTGTGAAATGCTTGTTTATTGGAGTTTTTCTTAAGAAAAATGTATACCTTTACAATCACTTTAAGTAGGCAAAACCAAATCAAAGCCCAACTCCATCTTATACTTTTAAACAGTTACACTTCTTTTTAAAAGCTTTTAATCACATGAATAAAATAACATCACTGTAAGCACCTGCAGTGTTGTATAGTCTGTCCCAAACTTAATGTCACATGTAATGGACAACTTGGCCAGCAAATACATGTGATGAAAAATACAAAAAAAGAACATGAATTAAAAATAAATAAAGAAAAAAAAATTTAAATACTGAATACTTTCATTACCCTCATGCATTTACAAGAATATGATATTTTATTGTAAATGGAAAATGAAAAATGGGGCTTTTCCTGTAATTTGTTGTACATAGAAGATGCTAGTATCTATCATGGTGTAGTGGAGGGAGTAAGAACAAAGCTAAGATTCTTTAGGATATCAGAGACTGCTCTACATAAATGTCTCCCAATTTACAAGCAATGGATGTAAAATAGTCATTCAGACTAACACTCAATCTTTTGGACAGAGTTAGGAAATGTTAAAATCCCTGTCAGATTTTATAGCTGTCTGTGATCCCAGTGGGGAGATTCACCTTCTCTCTTTGTCCTGCTGCCATTGTCACTGAGAGAAATGGGAAACAGATATGAGACATGAGGGGAAATCTTCCAATGTGAATACGGAATCTGGAGACATCTCTCTGAGAGGTGATTTCTCCTTAACTTGGATATAATTCCTGTCAATTCCCATTGTGCCTATGGGACATGAAGTAAAGGCAAATATCCCTACTGGAACCAAAGCTATAAAAGATAACTTGACAGTAGTTTAAACCATTACCTCTATCCAACAACAGCAAATTTGGGCTTATAAATACTTCAATGCATAATTAAAAAAAAAATAAAATAGTTTCATTACTTACTTTTCTTGTAGTTTCAAAACTAAAACAATATAAAACTAGTCCTCCAAGTCCCAATCAATATATTATAAAGGATGAGAAAATAGAAGGAGGTGCTGGTATCATCCATAAGCCTGCAATATCTAACCAATGAAAACCTGGCTTAGACTCTGTTGTACCGTATCCACTCAATATGTAATATGGAAAAATTGTTTAAACATGTTCAGTAACAATCCAGTGACACCATCTAATAATTACAAAGTTATAAAAAGCCATAGAAGAAGTCAGAACTATTTAGATATGTTTATTATGTTACACATTAGAGTGTCATCTAGTATTTGGGGGATATCATTTTCCTTTTTGGAATATTTGTATCTATGTGGAGGACCTGGTGGTCATTAGAAATTCATTAGCATGTTGTTCTTTTAGCTGGAGTAGTGATTAGTGAGTAGTGATGGCATTATGCAGGAGCGTCAATAAATGAGTAAACAAATAAAGATTAGATTATGTTTTGTTTCATTTTGCATCAGATTCTTGCACTTTAACATAGCAAATAAACAATGCTTCCAGCTTGGTGATCAATTGCTTATGGTCATTTGATGTCAGTGTAAAGGAATTGTACCTCATTTTTGGTGTCAGTGGTAAGAATAGTACCATGTATCAATGGGAGGAATAGTGTCCCCAGGGCTTGATAAAGGCAAGCAAAGGATTGCATCTGGCCCATTGGCCACAGTTTTGAGACCACTGATCTACAGTATAAGCCAACAACTCCTATGTTTTGAAAATATGGTCCAATTGGGGTTTGTATTGGCAGACATAAGCTTATATGGCATATGATCATTAAAGATAAGTATTATTGTTGATAGTGAAGGAATTGTTTTACTTCCATAATATAACCAAAGAGAGTCTGGTTGCAATCAGAACATGTGTGAGAATGGTCCGATATTCCTAAAGCTATTCCAAATGGTACCATTTCCAGGTCTGAAACGACAGATATACTATATTGCCAAAACTATTGGGATGCTCCTCCAAATCATTGGATTCAGGTGTTCCAATGGCCACAGGTGTATAAAATCAAGCCCCTAGGCATGCGGACTGCTTCTACAAACATTTGTGAAAGAATGGGTCACTCCCAGGAGCTCAGTGAATTCAAGCTTGGAACTGTGATAGGTTGTTACCTGTGCAATAAGTCCATCCATGGAATTTCCTTGCTACTAAATATTCCACGCTCAACTGCTAGTGGTATTATAACAAAGTAGAAGAAGCCGGGAACAACAGCAATTCAGCCACCAAGTGGTAGGCCACGTAAAATGACAGAATTGGGTCAGCACATGCTGAAGCGCACAGTACATAGAAGTTGCCAACTGTCTGCAGAGTCAATAGCTAAAGACCTCCAAACTTTATGTGGCCTTCAGATTACCACAACAACAGTGAGTAGAGACCCTCATAAAATGGGTTTTCACGGACAAGCAGTTGCATCCAAGCTTTACATCACCAAGTGCAAAGGAGAGCGTTGGATGTAGTGGCGTAAAACACACCGCCACTAGTCTCTAGAGCAGTGGAGACATGTTCTCTGGAATGACAAATCATGCTTCTCTGTCTGGCAATTGGGTAGACATGCCTGGGTTTGGCCGTTGCCAGGAGAACGATACTTGCCTGACTGCATTGTGCCAAGTGTAAGGTTTGGTGGAGGGGATTATGGTGTGGGGCTGTTTTTCTGGGGTTGGGCTTGGGCTTGGCCCCTTAGTTCCAGTGAAGGGAACTTTTAAGGCGTCAGCATACCAAGACATTTTGGACTGAATTAGAGATTGGGATGAATTAGAGCGGAAATGAGAGCCAGACCTTCTCATCCGACATCAGTGCCTGACTTCACAAATGCGTTTCTGGAAGAATGGTCAAACCTTCCCTAGACACACTCCTAAACTTTGTGGACAGCCTTCCCAGAAGAGTTAAAGCTGTTATAGCTGCAAAGGGCGGGGCCAACTCAATATTGAACCCTACAGACTAAGACTGGGATTCCATTAAAGTTCATGTGCATGTAAAGGCAAACGTTCCAATACTTTAGGCAATATAGTGTATAATAGTGTCTGATAAAATACATGTGAAAACATTGTTGCAGAAGGTGTTAAAGTATAACTTCAGACAAGACTTCTTTTTCCAGCTTTTGATAGAGTGGTGAGGTGTTAGAACCTTTATGTCATTGCTTTCTGTTTCCACATTAGAAAGAATCACTTTCTCTGATTTACCTGATCACCAGTGTACGGGGCAATGTAAGTGAGGGGAAAACCAAAATGTTTATTTGCCACCAGAATAGGAATAGAGGGGAAATCTTCCAAATGGGACTCTTGTTCCCATACCAATTGTCTGAGGGCATTCCTTCACATCAGAAAGGTGTCCTTTTTGTTGTATCTACAAGGCAGGAAGTAAAAGGAAAACTCTTTAATAAAACACATATAGAAAACAACTGACATTGGTTTTTAATCTCTCCTACTCTATCCGAAATGGAAAAATATTTTAGTTTTACATATACTTCATGTTTATCACTTCATATTATCATCTTTGTTTCTCAAAAAACATTCAGATTCAGAGAGCCCAGAAGGTTGCACATATGTGCACCAAATATTTTCAACATTAAGAAACATTATTATGAGTGTAATTCCGCTTTTTTTGAGAAATAAAGTGATCCCTTCTGGTAGATTTATGAACATTGCAAGGATTTTAATAAACGTTGTAGTAGCTATCTACCTTTTTCCGTCCTGAAGAAAAAGCTGTTAGAACTTGCGAGGCTGATTCCTAAATGGGGGGTCAGCACTCATAACCATCTGGTGCATATTTAGTGTTCCAATTAAGAAAGTTGCAGTGTCTGCATGCCTTTAGAAGTAGTTGACCATAAATTCTTATAGCAGGGAATGCCAAAAAATTTACTTGCACCTTAATGCAGATGTCTGAGAAAATCAGTGAGTTAATCATATAAGCAGATTGTCATATTTAATTCTTAGACCGTTTTAGAAAATTACAGCAGTTTCAGATTGAAATGGAAAGGTAACTTTAAATAACATTACATTTTATAATTTTATATGATAGATTATTTTTTATTGAAGTAGAATTGTCCTTTACACATAATACATATCTACAAAAAATTGAAATATATTTAAAAAAATAATAAAGTAATTAATAAATAATGTGGCCCTTTAAATATCTATTAAAATGTATTTATAGCCAAAATGTTTAATTATGGATTAAGTAGAGAAGGGTTAGATCTCCTGTCAAGTTTTTAGTTCTGTCTGTGTATGTGCCAAGTAGATTCACTCTTGTTATTTGTTCTGTGGATCATTATTTTATGACAGAAAGTGATGGGAAATCCAACATTTTGCAATTGTCAGTAAAACAAAAAGTGAAGGTAAATCTTCAAGTTAGGCCAGGAGTTCTAGTGAAAGCTTTCTAAGATGGGATTTCCCCACATTTTGGAGAACTTTCTTTTATTTCCAGTTGTTGCTCAAGGACAGGAAGCGACAGGGACAGCCCGTACTATACTCTATCCAAAACTATCTATCTATCTCTATCTCTTTATCCAATGTAATAATTTATTAACCTTGTTTTTGTGATAACTTTTTATCATATATTTGTGTGTGTGTGAGGGCGTTTTTGGGGCATAATACTAACTTAGATATAGAAAATGTTATGTATTCAGTGATATCAAATTAAAGACGATGGCTATTTTAATTTTTCCATTTTTTTTTTTCATTTTTATTGCACCTTCTGCTAAAAAATATGTTACTGGTCAGATGGAAGACTATGTATAGCTTGTACAGAAATGTACAGATAGCTATATTCAAGGACAAGCCTGCTGTGCAGTTTTGACAGATGTACTTTAGCTTTCCCACTATGCAAATTAACCTTTAGCCTACATATTATCATATGTAGATGTTGAAATACACTGTAAATAAAATAAACATTAATAAATTAAACCAGGGATTATAAAAAAAACACAAGCAATTAACACATTCAAGAATCTTACAACCAGAAAGGAGTGACCTATAAAATTTGCTGTGCAAGTAATTTGCCCCATTGGTTGAGATCTGTTTCTCTGGATCCAATGTATGATAACCAGAGTTAACAAATGAGATGCAATGTTTATGATTATGAATGTCAGAGTAGAGAATCTTTGGGCCTACTGTCAGTTACTCAATAGTGAGCATACTTCCTATTGAATAATGGCAGATTCTACTAAGTAAACTTTCTTTTGCATATTGAAAATAAAGGAATTCAACATTACATTAGTGAAAATATACTGCCTACTGAATAAAAGTGTATGGTTTCCCATTTATCCAGTGGGAAATGTACTTCCTATTTAATTATTTACATAATTATGAATTAAATAAAATTCCACAAGACTTTTCAAGCCATAATGTATGCTCAGAAACAGTGAATTCATTGATCTCCTGATTCTCAGATGAAGATTTAAAGAGTGAAGATGTGGAGCTGTACCTATGTATAATGAAAGTAATTCTGCCAATAACCTTGACAACTCAAAGCATAGAAATGGCCACCAAAACACAAAGTGAAAAGAGTCCAAAGTGCCTGTAATTGTTCACAATAACATCCAATGTGTTTCCGGGCAACAAAGCTTCCCTTTAACCAGGGTTTAGAAAAGTGGAATAAGGACATGAATAGAATAGAATAGTAACAGTAACCAGATGGATCTATATTTGATCTGGTGCAAAGCTTCCCTTTGTATTGGAATTTGGTAAAATGCTTTCAAAAACATATTTTAATGGTTTATTTTTATCAATTTACAAAATGCAAAGTGAGAGAGCAGAAGAAAAAAAAATATTTGGTGTGACTACCCTTCCTATCCTATTAATTCATCTAGGTACCCACAGTGCTTGTGCACACAGTTTTGGAAGGAACTTGGCAGGTAGGTTTTCCAGCCATCTTAGAGGATTAACCACAGATGTTCTGTGGATGTAGGCTGCCTCAAACTCTTCTGTCTTTTCATGCACTTCCAGACAGACTCAATGATGTTGACATCAGGGCCCTGTGGGAGCCAAACCATCACTGCCAGGATTCCTTGTTCTTCTTTATGCTGAAGATAGCTCTTAATGACATTGGCTTCAAGCCAGCATCAAATTTTCTATATACACACAGTGTTTGTGCACACAGTTTTTGAAGGAACTTGGCAGGTACAGATTGTTCCATATATCTTGGAGAACTAACCACAGATCCTCTGTGGATGTAAACTGCCTCACATCCTTCTGTCTCTTCATGTAAACCCAGACAGACTTGATGTTGTTGAGTTCAAGGTGCTGTGAGGGCCAAACCAAAACTTCCAGGACTCCTTATTCTTCTTTAAGCTGTACATAGTTGTTAAGGACATTGGCTGTATGTTTGGGGTTGTTGTCCTGTTTCAGAATAAATGTGGGTCCAATCATACACCTCCTTGATGGTATGACGTGATGGATAAGTATCTGACTTTATTTCTCAGCATTGAGGACACCATTGATCCTGACCAAATCTCCAACTGTATTTTCAGAAATGCAGCCCCAAGCTTGCAAGGAACCTCCACCATGCTTCAGAAACAACAAAGCACATTGGACATACAAAGGCTGATTTAAGTAAAAGACAATCCCTGTTTACTTATTTAATCTGCACATGGTTATATAATTGAAGAGAATACCCATGCACTTTATTGTGTGAACATTATCAAATCCTTTAGTAACTCAAAGTAATTTAATTTTGAATGTAAAATGCAATATTCCACCAATTTAACTTGGTGTAATGATGATTATACCCAGTGAGTGTCAGGCAAATATGAAGTGAATGTGACATTTAAGGGTATTTTCTAAAGCTGGCCATACATTGCGCTGAATAAAAAAAATGAACAAATTCCTCCATCCATACTATAGAACACAGATGAATGCATCTCCCACTGTAGATATTGTATTTTGACAGTCATCCCAGCTGGCTGTCAAAATACACTAATAGTTGCTGCATCTGGAAGGATGCATCTCTCTTTGGTCAAACGCAAATGATCGACTATTGTTGAACAGAGCAGAGCTGGCAGAGGAAATTTCAGTCGGTTAAACAGGAATTTTTGTTAAAATTTATAATAGTGGTCTCAATATTTTATTTTTAAAACCATTTAATCTATGCAACCCTTTTGTAGCTAGAGGCTATTGATATCTAGTTGCTGTACATATTTGTATGGACTTAAGGTTTTTATTTGGTACACTAATTTCATTAAAACATGCTCTATTTTTATTAAAGGATAACAAAAGTGCAAAATATATTCTTTTACACTTTTACTTTCCATTTTTAGCAATGTTTTATGATTTGCCATTTTCTTTGACAGTTGAACTATTAAATACACAACACTATAGATAAATATGTTTTTTTTTTAATAATTGAGCCTTCATGCAACACATAATGATCTATTTTGGAGCTGCCATAGTGATCACACAAAAGGGAACCACTCCGACTGGTTCCTGATCATCAGTGGGAACCCAGCTGTCACTGAAAGCCAGGATTGAGAGACAACATCTGCACAAAGTATC